CTGAAAATTTCTCCTTGAATCACCCTATAATCAAAGACATTTTAGAGCTTTTCAATTATCTCTCTACTTGCCAATGTGACATCGTCTTTTGCTGGTTACCAAATCATGTGGGCATAGCAGGTAACTCAAAAGCTGATGCTGAAAGCAGCTCTTGACAAACCGTTATCTCCACTCATGCCGTACAGTGATATCAAACCAATCATCAAACATTATACTCGGTATTTCCTGCAAAAGATGTGGGACACCCAGGTAGGAATCAATAAACCTCATGAAACCCTCATTAAACCAACAATCAGTCATACCTACGTGTGTTGTAAGTTAAGACATGATAAGGTCGTTTTACCCACGAATATCTGTTTGAAAGAGATCAGGACGAACCTCCTAAGTGTACCCCTTGTGATGAAAGGTTCACCATCAAGCATATATTGCGTGACTGTGTGGTCTTTGCAATAGCAAAGGATTCACATAACAAACTGTCAATCTGAAAGATCTATTTTCCCGTGTGAGCAGGCATATCATCTTAAGCTACTTGAAATAAATTGGTCTGTATAATACATTTTAAATATGTATGTGAACAAATAACTGCTTGTTTTGTAATTTGGTATCATGCTTTTATCAACTGACATTACTGAGGGAGGTTAAAGTACCATAAAATGATTGTCCCCATGTTTGACATGTAATTCCTATCATAATCGTAACTGTCATCAACCAGTGTTTTAAGCCATCTCATTGCTTAGCATTTTTAAATTTTGGCTGGTATAGTGCACAACCACCAGTAGCTGATTTGATGACGTATATCCTGCTGAGGTATCAAGCAGGACGCTGAGGCACCATACATGTAGGTCTCTATGGTCATCATCAAGGTGGCATAGCTTTGGTTACTGGTGGCTGATAGTCATGTGTTTTAAACAGTTGTAAAGGATATTGTTATCACAAAAAATGGTCGACAAATTTGTTTTAAGATATAACTTGGTTGATGATTGTCATCGTATCCCAATTGCGTGGATTGATGCGCATGATGTCAATCACAAGATTGTCTGGATTATTTACAGACCGCAGTCATATATCTTGAATATTGCTGAGTGCGGCGTTAAACAACAAACAAGGTCATGAACTGGGTCACTTTGGTGTATCTGAAATAGTGGAGAAATGTTCTGTGTGTAAAGAGGGTCCCCGTGTTATACCTAGATCAAGGTGTTACTGCTTAACGGCCTTGGGAGGTTCTTTACAGTGGTTTTATTGGCTCACTTCCACGTTCGTCTTGTGGTTATGTGTTTGTGTTTACATGTTTGGATGATCTGAGTAGGACGTTTTGCTATATTCCAGTTCGTACGGCGATCCAGTGCTGGAACGTGTGTTTTCCATATTAGGTCAGCCAAGTATTTTACATACAGAAAATGGTACTGTCTTCACACAAAGAGTTTAGTATGTTTACTTCTAATTGGAAAATTAGATGTAGTTATACTCCTGTTAATAGACCACAAGCATATCTAGTCGAAAGAGCTCACAGAACATCAAACAAAAAGCATGTTACAGACGCTGCGGTCCCTAACAGTAGTGTGTGCCCGCACATGGAGTCATAGACAGTGACGCGAGATCCGATTTCCATTGTAATCAGTCTCGTATTTGTCTTTGTCAAGTTAACGTGTTTGTATCTGTACACAATTGGTTTTATTACGCTACCCAGTGAAGGGAGGATAATTAGACATGTGTCATTTCAGTATAAATGTAAAATCGTGCAGTTGTAGATCTTCACATAGGCCATGTCCATTCTTTTGTTCCCCGCACACCTATTTATGCAACCTCATATACACATATTCGTCTGCTGTTTTCTTCCAGTTCGGAAATGGTAATTGCACATACGTACGCTGACAAGGTATTGCTGTGCCTAATATATACTCAACAACAAAAGTTCATGTGACACCAATAATTTAGTGTATTTTTCAAACAAGTAAAGTTTGGTTTTCAATATTGTAGTACATGTATTGAATCAAGTCACAAAAACGCAACTGCTACAGAAAAGCATGCATTCCATGCAAAAGTTGACTTTTATGCAAGCCCCATGCAGTTCACTACCCAAGAATGGGTATAAAAACATGTGCCTTAACGGAATTGCATATGCATTGTTTAGCATCGTGCTGACAACAACCACTCAGAAAAACAACAAAATTAGGCTATTATTCAACATTACGAAATGCCACGCCTGTCCGAAAATAAACGTCTGCGAACCATTGGTATGCTTGAAGCAGGATCGACTCAACGTGATGTTGCAAGACAATTTAACGCCCACAGAAACACCATTTGGTGTTTATGGCAACGTTGGCAACAGACGAATGCAGTCAGAGACCATTCTCGGAGTGGCAGGCCACGCGTAACCAATAAACGACAAGACAACTGGATTCGAACAACACACCTACGAAATCGATTCCAGCCAGCAACAGTGACTGCAAGAAGCATCCCTGGCCTTCGACTAATATCTTCACAAACCGTACGTCGCCGCCTCAGATGTGCAGGGATTGTCGCCAGACGTCCCATTTTGACATGCACGTCTACAGTGGTGCAGACAGCGTCTACGCTTGACGGCCATGCAGTGGGGACAAGTTCTATTCACTGACAAGTCTCGTTTTCACCTCAGCCACAGCGATGGACGGATTCGAGTGTACCGACGTCGAGGTGAACGTCACGTCAATCATTGTGTCATGGAAGAAGATCGGTTCGGGGGCGGCAGCTTTATGGTATGGGTTGGGATTACAGCAAGACAGAGGACCCGTTTGATAGTGGTAGAGGGAAATCTCAATGAACAGCGCTACCGCGACGAGATCATCGGCCCTGTTGTTCTACCGTTTTTGCGTCGTCATGGCCCAGGCTTTACCTTTCAACATGACAACGCCCGGCCTCATATTGCTCGACTTGTTCAGGATTCTCTTCAACAAAACAACGTGAATGTCATCCCCTGGCCGGCTCGCTCCCCTGGTCTCTCACCAATCGAGCACATGTGGGATGAGATGGATCGGCGCCTTCGACGTCAACCACGTGTTCAACAGTCCACACTCGATTTCAAGCTTTAAATCTGCCACACACAAAAATGTAGAAGTGTTCGATTTTATCAACTTCTTCGCACAAATGGTTATATGTACATGTTTGGAAATGTTGCTGATTTGAATTGAATAACCACCTCAACTGGTTAATAATTCGATTATAAACAACAATGACATAACGTGATAAGTGCTTACAGTAAGGAACCGAACGTTTTGTTGATGGGAAGCAGAAGAATGCTATGAAATCTAAATTATTAGTTTTTTATTTAAACTTGTACCTGACGTCCCGGGGTGTTCCTCATTATATCAATCACTGAATTGTCTGATCGAGCCTGATATTGCTGAGTGCGACGTGAAACAAAAAACAAATAAAACACAAGCCACGACATGTATATTGAGGATTTCTATTTTCTGATTCGGTACATATGTGATTCACCGGTTAGAACATTTTACGGGCGACGCCTCTGGGGTCAAATGTTTGCCACTGCACGTGTATTCAGGAAAGTAATGATATCTACCAAATATATAATTACAAGCTTCGGCCGACTGACCGTTCAGTCGAATATTAGAACGGCTTGAGTTATGATTTGTCAGCACTATGGCGTGCTGGGATGTCTATGTAAGATTCTTAAAGTGTCATCTGATCTTTTTTTCCATCAATAGTCAGGTGTCAACAATGTTGTTCATTCTGTTTCTTTTTGATATCGCAAGTTATTTAGTCAGCTGGTTGATATTAATTTAAATCTGGACAGAATACTTATCAACTAAGTATCTAATCGAACTTTTGACCATGCTCACGGAACTTGATAACACTTTCTACGCTCTGTCCGGTTTTCCTTGTGGCGAATATAAAACATATGACCACGTCTCTGTATTTAGAATTCAGCACGAATGGAGATTGCTACTTTGCTGTGGCAACATGGTAGTAGACAGTGGAACATCCTGCATGTGTCATGCGGGAACATCACCCGGGGTGGCATCACAGTGTTTCCAAATGCAAGATTTGGTTTGAATGGAAGAAAACTGAAGGTTGTCGCGTTGGAGGTAGCGTAGAAGGAATTACTAACAATGTGAAAGTGCGTCGTGTCATGTAAAGTGTGTAAAATAAATGTGAAAGCACCTTGTAAGTAAGGAACATGTTTGATCGCAGGATAATAACATTAAGCTTACGTCTTTAACCTGCATCCGTTGACCACATTCCTATCTTTTTTACTGATTCTGGTCATATGTTTCACAGTGGAAGCCCTTCAGCGTTAAAGAAACGGACGGTGATATCGTTTCTTATAGTGGCATATCTGAGCATTATATGGACTACCTATCACTGCGCTTTAATTTCAGGTAACCCTTTTGTGTGTTTTTGTGCATCTTCGAATGAGTTGTATTTTGTGGTAAAATAATGTAAATAAATTAAAACAAATAAAAAAACATACAGCCAAAGCTCATTAGCACAGTGTACCATTGAGTATCCCTTCGAGGAATTGAGGTTGATAATTTGGCAGTCTCTCAAGAAGATTCGATATCACTAGGTAAATGAGTCAAATATCTGAAGAAGGTAAAACTACGATCGATTGTAATCCGCACCTAAAAACAACATTTTTGTCAAAAGTCTCATATAACTTCAATATTATTTATTCAAACGGTTCACCGTGGAAAAAAACGACATGACACTTGCCAGTTTTACTACACTACCATCGTGTGTCATAATGTTCTACATAGGTGGTAACATGATTTATGAATACGTGATAGAGAAGCAACTAAAGTCATGCGTTCAGAAAGTAAAGTCAGTATTTGAAATTGCTTGTCAGCTATGAGAAATAAGTGCTTTCAAATAAATATAAAGCGGTATCATGACCTAACGTACATGAAGAGTCCATACAGCTGGAATACGAATCAGAAGGCACTATTCTAAAGTTTCCCGGCTTATATTCGAAGATATTCGAGTTTTCCATCATTATCTGAACAATGTCTGTAATCAGTCAACATGTCATCTTCATCAACAGTTACAAGTACATTGAACCCCCAGATGGCCTGTGGGGAGAAGTGGAAGAAAACGGCAGTTGGACGGGCATAGTGGGTATGCTTCAGAGAGAGGTGGGTTGCTGGACACCAAATAACATAACACTGATACTCGGAGACAATCTCCAACATTGAAATGTACCAAAAAATGATTGTATGTAATAGTTATTAGTATACTTTCCGAGGTGTGTCATGTGTATTGGAACTGCCAAAACTGTCCTCACGCACGCACGCACACACACAATCACACACACACACATGATACTACCCCCATATTCCTAACCTTTGATCAAAAGCGGTCCCGTTGCACCTGCTATGCTCGCTCAGATCTTGTTTTGGTCCGTGCACTGTATTCAGCATATTCGGTATGCCGCCGGGTACACGCAATCATTGGACTGCCGGCTTCACAGGTGAACGCCATAGCGTAATGTGACGACGCAGATGATGTTATTTTGTTTAACATTGACATTGGGGTTGTCGATGAGGAGGCTTTCAATCTTACCAAGACCCCAAAAGCGTTCGTTTTAATAATCCGGTAAGTTATGCCGAATATGCTCGAACTGCAGAACTTAATAGTACACACTAATAGAAAAAATAGAAACACTAACTGGTGTGTGAGTGAAATTGACGCATGGGCCTTTTGCTAAGAAACACTCTTGTTACGGATTTTTACAACCAAATGTTTTATGTGTGTGAATTGAATCGTCAGGGCTGTATATCGTATCCAGCCACGTCTATGAATAATTTGTGCATTGTAATTTGGAGATTTCTACGAGACGACTATGAGACACTTGATTTGAATTCTGGGGATGACCAACGTGATTGTTTGGTTGGTTTGTTGTTTAAGGCCACACTCGGCAATATTCCAGCTATGTGACGGCGGTGTGTAAACAATCGAGTCTGGTTCAGAAAATCCAGTGATTAATTGGAATCGATGACATGCATCAACCATGACCAACATGAAACACTGAACGATTTCCGACGTCAAATCAAAAGATTTTACGCCAAACGTTAAGGGAATAGGTGTTGATGTGAAACGTGCGGAGCCATTTACGGAGGTTGACGAATGTAATATATAGGGATATTAAACGACCTCTAACTGAATTAGAGACGACTGTCTTCTATTACATGTGTAAACTCATTGGTCTTCGAGCGGCCGCGCCTATAAACGCTCCTCCTTGAAGGTTGACGATTTTCAACAAGGATGCAGTGAGACAATACATGGAGTTTCACCGCGGGACAAGCAAAAACATTCAAGATAGTTTGAAGCAATGTGGAAAATTTGAAATCGGGTGAGCACTTGTCTTGTATTGCGAAAAACGATAATTTAAAAGTAATAAACATTTACAAAAATGATACAACAATACACCTTTACTATCGGGACCGGTTAATCCCACACTGTCTTACTAGAGATTACTAATTTAATCTGAAGTTAATTTTTCACGAAGACGGCCGGGGTTCGAATCCCTGGTCGGCCATTTCGCAATGATGATATTTGTTGAAGTCCATCTGCACGCACAGAAGCAGGATTAGTCAGGATACAAAATAGGCCATGTTGGCAAGGTTTGTGAAAAGTTCAGCTAAAAATTTGTAATTCATGTGCGACAATCTTTCACAATAAGAAGGATGTACCCGAGCAGCTGATCACGCATAGTACACAGGAGTACGTCTGTTCAGACCAGACATCGGATGAAATGCAACACGAGATCTCCGACATGTTACAACCACCAGCACCAAAACCATCAAAAGTGTCCAAACGTTTATATTTCATCGTTTCATGCAACGGCGACAGCATAGCAAGACAAATTAGAAATTACAGAAAGAGGTTGTCGTGACAATTTTAGTGAAAATACAGTGGACATTTGTATGGAAGAATTGCATAATATGAGAATTCTTTATTACAAAAAAATTGCTGCTTCATTGTTATAATTTCATGCTCACTGCTTTATTTTCCCACCTCGAATTGCATAAACTTTTGATACCACCCATCGAAAAGTATCCTGCTGTTGGCAAACAGTCCTACTTTTCCCAATATTGGGTAACTTTTGACAAAGATAACCATGGCAACGAGAAAGAGAGTGGTTGTAATTGATAATGTAGATATAAAAACATGGCCATCGTTCCCAATTGTCATAAGTGATTAGAAATGTACCTTCGTTTTCACTTACATGCCTACTCATTTATACACTGAGCTAGAACAATGTTTATTTTGCAAAGTGACATTCTATTTAAGCTTTGAATGCAGCAATTATCAAGACTATGTTTGCCTAGAGTTTTAAGACAGAAGGCGGTGGCTCATGGGCCTATGTGGTGATGTCAACCGCTGCAATCTGGATGTCTCCAATTTGTTGTTATGGGCCAGACAAATACATCTTGTCATGTTGTATTTGCTGGAGTACAACACTCTTGTTGCCCTGGTGTTGCAGACTGGATGCCTCTGTAACATCGTCCATGTTGACACTCGATGTCGGGTGGGGATCGAGGGTGCCGAATGCTATTATCACACCATGTCTCACAACCCAAATTCTGTTTCATTGAAAACAAATAACCATCGTCATGTGGACTCTTTGTCATCTGATGAAGATATCTCTCCAGATGTTGCCTATTCTGGACTAAGGGTAATAGTAATAGCATCTACTGAAGGAAACCTCCTCAAGCTTAATCCTTTTGCTGTCTCCAAGGGCATTCAGAGTGCCTGTGGAGAAGTGAAATATGTAACGCGTCTCTGAAATGGTTCACTTCTTGTCGAATGTGCACGGAGCCCAAATTTTGGACATCAGCTAAACATCCTAAAAATTAAATACACAAACAATATCACTTTTTTCTGAAGCCAAATGATAGGTCCCATTCAATTTGAAAACCCATCATATACTTTTTGCATATGTGAGGCATGGTGTCATTTACAGCTCTGTTCCTTTCAATACAAATCTTCAAGCTCTTGCTGTTTCTTTAACTTTGCACATAGTATTTAATCTGTGCTCATTGTATATTCTTCCGTCCACTACACTTCGACAATCTGATCTTCAGAATCTTTATGAAAATCTCCCATGCATAATCATGGGTGATCTGAATGTCCACAAACCTCTTTTGGGAAGTGGTGTGAACACCAACAATAAAGGAAAGGTACTTGAGGATATTTCTAACAATAATTTATGTATTTGCAATAATGATTCAACCACCTGTTTACATTCTGCAATATGAACTTCCATGATGACCTCACTTCCCCACCATCTGTTCTTCCATCTTCATCACCATTCAAAGATATTGCAGATCCGATTCAGTTGTTTTCAGACAAACTCACTGAAATAGCTGATCAAACAATTTCTAAGTCCTCTGCGAATTCAAATGCTCGTAAACCGATGTTTACTTATGAATGTAAACAGGAACGGAAGTGTAGAAAGAGAGGGAAAACTATTTCCGCCGACATCCTACAGTTTTAATTTAAATCATGTATGTCCAAGATATGGAACATGATAACAAAAATAAAAGGTGAAAGTTCAAAATCTTCTGTTCACCATCTTAAGGAATGTGGTAAGTTATATCAGATATTGCCAACAAATTTTGTGAAATTTTGGCTAAACTTATTATGACCCTGAATGTACAACATTCAAAAACAAGAAAAGAAGAAACATTAATTTTATTTCTGATAACGTGGAAGAATACAATGGAGTGTTTTCCTCACACGAGCTACATACTGCCCTTAGGAAAGCGGCAGGGACAGATAATAATGATAACTATCAGTTCCTGAATCATGTGACTGAATCATGTTTTGAAATCCTTTTAAATATATTTGATCAAATATAGGAATTTCCTCCTTCGTCACACAATGCTATTGTAGTCCCTATACCAAAGCCTGGGCGGGATCATACTGATCCCTCTAATTACCGCCATGTCATTCTTTTTCGATCTTGATAAGGCCTATGATACTATCTGGAAGCGTGGCATTCTAAAGGATTTACATGATTTGGGTTTAAGATGTCGTTTGCCTCATTCTATATCACAATTTTAACAGACCGATAATTGAAGGTCCGAGTGGGTTCCACCTTGTCTGACCATTGTACTCAGAATCAGGGTGTTCCACAAGGCATGTTTTGCTTGACTGTTGATTTTTCCTTCACAAGGGATAATTACTCTCATTCAACGTCTTTTAAGGATCTTCTTAATAATACCAATGCTCGTTTAATTCTCGAATTTTTAAAAGAAATTGTTGGATACATTTTGAATGCTTGAATTGTGTGTTAAATTAGTGTGATGTTATCATCAACTGAGATTATTGAAGGAGGTGTCACTCGGGTGTGTGTGTGTGTGTGTGTGTGTGTGTGTGTTTGTGTTTTAAGTAGTAAACCTATTATTATTCCTTGATTATAGTTTGTTTTTTTAGTATTGGTTAGCTTTCTTTATAACCACTGTTGTCCCAGGTTATGGCATAAATTCTAGTGGGGAGTCATGCAAGAAATAAAAGCACCGTAAGTTCCCATGATCCTCAGTAAGGTGGTATGGCTTTGGATCCTAGCTTATCGCCCGTTTTTAATATATTTAATCAATCTGTTGAACAGTTATTTGATTATAATTTTGACCTGGTTCGTTTTATACCTTATCTCTTTTGTACCTGATCTGACGTACATGTCAGTACTTTTAAGACAGATCGTTGTTCCAGAACAAGATACACGAAGGACGATTGTTTATCATATCCATCTAGCATAGTATGGACCCCGTGTTGATTCCTGGTTAGTTTCCATGATCCTGTTCCTCAGCAACCGTTGCTGATCGTAAATGGATCGGACGGTCGTGCTTGGTGACTTGGCTGGTTTGCGTGTCATCGTGCCCTGACGGCGTGGATCGTCTCTCACAACACTGTTCACTGGATTGTCTGGACTAGATGCGTCGTAAAGTATTTCAAATATAGCTGGGTGTGGCGTTAAACTATAAACAGGATAAAAACCTTTTGAAAGCATTGCAAGAACCTAGTAAATACCATTCCAAAGGTGGATCACAGAAACGACTTTTGTAAAGAGGGTTCATGGTAATATCCTCTATTTGCTTTGCCTGCACGTTCATGGACAATGGGAAGATTTACATTTAAAGATGCATTCACAACAGAATTAGCCGCTGGTAATATGTAATATAAAAAAGCACTCAGCCTACTGTTTCTATGGACACCTATGTTGTTTCATATCGGCCTTCAAGTTCGATACTTATCGCAATGTAGCACTCATCAATAATGGATATCTAGAGATATTACAGCACAATTTATATGCTTTTTTTGTGCAAACCAGTGCAAATTCTTCATACACAATGTAAGTATTCATAAACAACTACATACCGCCATTTCAGTTTATACATTTAATACGTTGGTATACACATATATGTATTGTTTGTTTTAGGAGGCGGACTTATGCTCTGTTCCATATGCCATGAACATTGAACGTGCAAAAGTGATGGAGTTCACTTATCCCATACTTACAGAATACTCAACGGTTATTTACAAAAAGATGGACGATAAAAACAAGACATGGAAGGTGTTGATTTCTTGTTTCAAATGGGAGGTCTACATTGTTGGTGGTATTGTGCTGCTCATCATCGGGCTAATGTATGGCTGTCTGATTAAGTCAACTCCTAATCCGTGTAAAGAAGTGGAAATAATGAGAAAGTCCGTTTACTATAATGGTATCACCATGGCAATATCGCCTCCACTGTGTGAAGGTAAGATTTACAAGGTGACTGTTTGCTCTGCGTGCACACCCTGATTCCAATGGCGGAGATACTAATAGTGTTTGTATGGTTCTATATTATTCACACTGGCGACCCAAAGCACGATGCATGTTAACTCTCTGTGTAGGTGCAAGGTCCAATCGATATTGGCTCCACTAACATTATAGACAGTATAGTAACATAAAGCACTCTGTGTCAATCACATAATTAAACACTGAACGTATTTTCTATTTATGTCTCTCTGCACTGTACACATGCACTTTATAATGAGCACTTATGCCATTGATCATAAATGGTCTCTTTATTCTGAACCCATTATTATATTATAATATTTCATTCACGACACAATATTTACAGCTTATAATCGTTGCAGTTTGTTTGCATTCATGTTTGATAAACTTGATATTTACATTGAATGGAAATAATTTTACAACCTATTGCATTTAGCCACAGTGGACGTACCCGTGTTTGACTCTGGACGAATGCTGTTCAGCTGTTGGTGGTTGTTCTGCCTCATCATGACAGCTATCTACAGATGTAACCTAATGACCTTCCTCACTGTCAGTCGAACAGTCGTCCCATTCAGCAGTTTGGAGGAATTGGCAAACCAAGATGTCTTTGACGTCGGGGCACCTGTTGGGAGTTATGTTAGCTTAGCCATAGAGGTACCCTCATTATAATGCACCATCAGTAGAAGAGTATGGCTACAACGATGAGTCATGTATAATCCCACATGGATGCGTATAGTTAGTCCCATCTTGTTTGTTGAATGAAATGATGTTATCTTGATTACTAAAAGCGTTGGTATGTTATTACCGAATTATAGAGGTTTATTAATTTTCTTTGAAAGGGTCTGCATGATGTTGAAGAGACTGCAGCAAACGTATCACTATGTAATGTAATCAACAACGAAAACCATTTATTTGACAATGCTATGCTTGAAATCATTATTACTAATAGACATCACGGATATGTCATTTATGTCAGGAATATATTTGTATAACATGTTCAAAGTGCGTGGTGAATTATTGCAAATGAGTATGTGCTACACGGGGTTATTAATGTAAACTAATGTCCAAAAGAAACGATACCACACATTTTTCTAAATATTTTATTATGAAGAGTTAATTTTCGTCTGAAAAGGTACTTTTGCGTATCCTACGTTCCAAACCAAACGTATTCGGTCGATAAAACCGGGAACATTTGATCAATTGAGAAAAAAGCGTGCAATTTGCCCAAATGACGTTCCGTCCCGTAACACGAAATGCACGTGCATATCTTCTGTATAAAACTGCTGACCCGACACGTTGGGATCACAGCAACAAAAAGCACACAAAAGAAATTCCACGTTTGACAGCGATTAAGAGAGAGAGCCGTAGGAATGCTCCAACAGGGAGCTACACACCGCGACGTCGCCAGAAGGTTAGGGTGCGCGCGCATAATCGTCACCAGGTTAATGCAGCGGTTGCGTCAAACAGGTCGGACAGCAGACAGGCCGAGAACCGGGAGACCGTGGGTGACCACGCCTATTGAAGACCGCCACATCCGGGTACTTCACCTTCGGAACCGCTTCGTAACGGCACGGACGGCACTGGGACACGTGATAAGTCGACAAACCGTGTACAGGAGACTGCGGGCACATGGTATCCGAGCACGTCGCCCCTACCGCGGAGCGTTCCTGACCCCTCAACACCGACTCAACAGACGGATATGGGCCAGGCGACTTCGACGGTGGCAACGGTGGAACTTGGCACGTGTCATGTTTGATTTGGCATCTTCAGGAACGACGGCCGGCAGCGTGTGTACCGAATAGTAGGTAAACGTTTGGCACCGAACTGCATCCATCAAGTCAGGCCATATGGAGGCGGAGGTTGAATGGTTTGGGGTGGAATCTGCGGTGACGTCAAAGCGAGACTCGTCGTTATTCGAGGAAACCTGAATGCGCAGCGTTATCGTGATGACATCTTACAACCAGTTGTGGTGCAATTCATCCAACAACAGCCTTATGGTATCATTTTCCAGCACGATAATGCGAGGCCTCACACGGCAAGGCTGACCCAGAACTTCCTAGCAAACGCCAACATTCACGTTTTACCATGGCCAGCATGTTCACCGGACATGAACCCAATCGAACACATGTGGGAAATTCTCGGCCGCAAAGTCAGGAATCGCCCTGTGCCTCCAGTTGACTTCCAGGAATTGGAACAATGCCTCCTCCAAGAATGGCAACACATCCCCGCCAACGTCATCAGACGTCTGACGTCATCAGCCCGTAGACGTGTACTAGCGTGTATTGACGCTCACGGAGGACATACCCGGTACTAACGTGACTTTGAGACGTGTGTTGTGACATTTTCCACACTTGACTCATCAACTGTGTTCAAATGAAATTTTCATTTTGGACCCCCCGCGTCTTTACATGTCTGTCCTCATGATTGTAAAGGATTGATTACTAAGAATTTTTGTACACATACTGTGAAAACATTACTCACAAGTTATATACCAATTTGAAATGTCTGTATCGTTTAGTGTTTTTGTAATGTCCTTTCAAACACGTGGTATCGTTTCTTTTGGACATTAGTTTATTGTCGTATAAATGTTACGATTTACGGACCAGGTGCTCTTGACAAATAAAGACATTGAAATGCAAGTACATGTACGTATTGGTGTGTAAATACAAAAACCTAATCAAAGTATGTGAGTTTGATTTCTTCAGATCCTTTTTTTACAGGAATCGATATGTATCCTTAGCTCTTCTTTTGTATTATAACTATTAAACATTATCCATTTCACTTAATTGGTAGCATACATCGAATTTTCAATTTCAGAGTTTTTAAAGTTATCATTTAAATGATTCCTTGTACCGGTGATGAAACTGACAATTTTCAAAATGAAATAGCAGCAGACAGTTATTTGTTAAATTTACGTTTCAGTCTTCCAAACAAGACACACTGAAAAAACTATGGATGAAAATACAAAAAACGCAAAATTCTAGTCCCAAGTCTGGAGATGCTGATTACGTGTACCAGCTGCAACGACTGCATGAGGGATACTTTGCGTACATGCAGTCAAACGTGGCTTCTGATGTTATCATGAATGGTACATGTAGTCTTGCTAAGATGAAAGAAGCCTTTCTACCAACCGTATCCAGTATGACGTTTCCTTTGCATTCTCCTCTAGCGAGACTCTTCTACTCAGAGTAAGTACATTTGTTTCCCTTCCGGCTAAGGTATATCATCATCTTCCAATAAACATATGTCAGTTTACATGCAGGAACATTCATTACTGGTACATAAGTTCCACTCAGCGATGGTACAACATTATGTAATGCTACAATTGCATCTGCATCAGTAAGACACTTCCAAACAGTGTCGGAGCAAAAATCACAGAGAACAAAATAAATCTACAGCTGTCCATGTATTCTTCTTTATCATGCTGATTAGCTTGAAACAGTTTTTTTTCAAGCTGGCTAGCATGTGGTTTGAAACAATTTCAATTATGATATATATCAGCATCGTTTGCTTTGTTTCCAAAGTGTGATTCGTGCATTGCCATAATTTATATTCAATTTTCAAACATTCCTTTCTCAGTGACTTCCTGTCTCAAAGATTATCCATCATCCTTAATACGACTAAGTACGACCTTTCCATATATTCACAAAAAGTATCATAGATAATTGGAATTAAGACTGTGTTGATTCTCAAAAACTCCAAGGACTTGTATGAATTTCTTTCAAAACATTTGCTGTTTCAATTTTGCCCACCACCATCTCATACGATTTTGCCTTTTACGTCAAATGGAATCTGCTTCGGCAGATAATCAAGCACGATTATTCTATGGCGTTGACGTTTTATATTCAAGAAACAACGCCATTCCTTGATTCATGAGGCATTTGTCACTAAACGTGGCTGTCTCATACCAAAGTTAAAACCCAACACGTGTTTTAAGAATTTATAAACTATAAACTACACTCTCGCATGCTTATCTGATCTCAAATACCTAATACCAGTATATACATACTCTTGACTACTCTGATCTTAACCAAACAAAGCGTAACTACGCTAACTACTTTACACAAAGTGTTAAGATCAAATGACTATCACATTCCCTACAGTTCTGTTCGTCAGGTTCGTTCGTTACTGACTAGGCCTTTCGCCCTATCTGCAAAGCGCACAGCTACTGTCCCACCACATGAAGGACACTTGTTACTTGTAACTCATGTCAGTCATTGTCTCTACCTCCGAAATGCATATGTCGTGAAGCTTAACCCTCACAGAGCAGTCTTCTCCGACTAGGAGATTGTACAAAGCAGTCAGTAAATATTTCCTCATTATAACTAGTATACTCGGACCCCATGGTACCGTGGCATTTGTGATTTCCGGTAGTTCACGCAGGACACGCCTCTTAGCGGCTGTCTATTAATGCAAATCAGTAACCGGGAAGTGCTCACTTCGTAAACAATTTCAATTTCCTCGGAATGTGCCGTCTGCTGTAAGTAAGGAGTTATTAATCCGTTGATATATTCTGGCATCTTTCTGGCATCTGTTGTAATATTGCCTTACACCCATCTATCAATGGCCAACGATATAACCCGCAGTTCCCCAAGTAAACTTTCTCTATCGACCTGAACTAGATCATCTGCATATTCATTGCGACTAATGAGGTAACGGAAGTTACGTAGTCCCCATATTTTTTCCGCTCTGTGCCCAGAATCTATTGGGAGATCATAAGGGCCATAATGCCAAACTTAGAAATACGTTCTTCACTAGGAACCAAAAGATAAATACATACTTTGGGCATACTAGGAGTGCTTTTTATATATTTATTGTTGACTTTTAACATTTTCCATTTTGTGACAAATTATTGTCATCCAATTTTTTTTAAACAATCTTAAAATATCATTTCTAATATTTTGATGTTGACTTATAAAAATATTTTTCTCTTACTTTTCGGTAAATATGCATTGAATACCTATTGCTGATAACACATTTAGAATTTTATTTGTGCTGTCTTTGCACTTGTCTGGACAAATCACTGATGTCTGGCATGATCATACCAAGTGGTTGGTAGAATTATGTCCTCTTTTTGTCCAATTCGGACCTCCATACACAACATTTCGCTGTACCGCGATACGATGGAGTTCTCTCCCTTGTCAAACAGAGCGCGAGGCCCAGCTTTTACTCGGAGCTACTAATGTAAATAATGAACTTTTATCAGTAAAATATGCATTGTTTGATAACATGAATGATATCTGATACAGAGAACACGAATAAACATAAAGGTTAGTGAGTGCATTTTGTTCCGTTTAGCGTACATGACAAGTACCGCGATACCCCGAGGTTGCAGGCTATATGTTGCCTATCATTGACTATTTCAATGTACTAATAATAAGTTTAGATTACAAACAAAGATTACTATTCAAGATCAATAAACGTTGACATCTTTCGACATGTTCTGATGATGAAGTCTCTACAACAACTCCAGATTTGTGTCTATGGTTCTTTGTTATGCAAACTTCGGACGGAAGTCCATCAAAATGGGCATCAAAGGTGGCTGTTGAGAGGAGAAGAACGTTATACGGCTTCGTTCTAGTTCGCTACTTGTGGAATGTGCAAAGAGATAGAAATCTGTTATCCTGTTAGGATTTAAAGCAGTTTGTTAACTCTCAGGTTGCTGTTTCAGAGCACAGGACACTAAACTCTTGCAGAAATATCGTCCGAGCTCATTGTCGGGCATATGTAATGGAGGAAGAAATTGTGAATGGACTGAAATACCAAGGAGTTACTGCTGCAAGACGTTTTACAACCAAACAAGAAACGGATATTATCAAAACTAATACCTGCCTTTTTACATTTGCACTGACATCATTACCTAAATCCACTAAAGCTGGTTACTGGTTACAACATCGAGGTGGAGGTACATGTACCTATCAGATGCTCCAACTGCAACCGTGAACATATGGCATCAGCCAAATCCTGCCCGAATCATTTTAACTGGAATAAAAGATTCCTAAAATCATAATCACAAATAACCTCTCCCACCATGAAGGTAAAACAGTAATACAAACACAGTATCAAGTTCCTAACACTCGAAATTTTCAGCTGCTGCTTCTGCTTCTGCTTCAGCTCCTGTATTGAAAATTTCAACCTCATGCCAGACAGCCATCCTTTGGGTGAAGAATCAGCAGATGAGAGTCAATGAACTCACTCAAATCACTCAAAATGAACACAGTTTAATCACATCTGCCTCGCTGGCAGAAGAACCAGCCATAGACACAAAATCAAATCAAACATCAGAACTAGAACCAAAACCAGCAATAGTCAGTGGTGATGCCTATCTAACAAAAAGAGAGAAAACAGATCCGTAAGGGAAAAACTCTCCTGCATTTAGAAGTACCCTCTACCTTGGCAACACCTGTGACGGTTCATATATTTCGTTTGGACCTCTTCATATGGAGGTCACTCCCTCACAGCCAGCACATGGGAATGGATTTTCTCACGTTCAAGATCCCCAGTTCAACCGCCTTAAACAGCTCTATTAATATAACACAATGGAATTGCAGAGGACTCAGGACCAATTTGAGCGATCTACAATTATTGTCACAACCATCAGCTTTTAGTTTACAAGAGACATACATGAAAATAAATTTGATATTTGTCAATATAGTTCATACCATTCGTTTTCACCTCAAGGTGATAACGCCACGGGTGGTGCTTCTATTTTGGCAAGGCAGGTTTGCACAAAAGGGTCCTGTTCCTCTTAAATGCAACCTTCAAGCTGTTGCAGTCAGCAGTCTTTCTTTGCACATAAACTTCTAACTTTATATATACTGAGTCAAATTAAAAACTTCACATTTTTAAAAGTAATCCCATATATGATATACAACAGACAAATGTTTCAGAGAAGGTAATTTTTTAATCATTAATGTCCAAACAAGGATTTTAATTAACGGTGGTGTGCGCATGCGCGAGTACCGGGAGGACGCGGGTAGTTTGAGCTCCCGTGATGGGCGACAGCCTGGCCCAATATAGAGCCAAATATCACATATATCCTGAGAGCAACTATTTCAATATGCAAATCTACCAAACATGATAAGGAAGTTCATCATATAATTCAGGACGGTTCCACTGGATTGTTTTAGCAAGTGTGTATAGTGGTCCATCCAAGGTAAGCACGTGCATCTGACCAGGATTCAAATAAGAGCAAAACTACTTTCCATGGCATAACAATGTGCAGGACTAAACTCTCCTTGAGTTTGCGACTTTTGCTACTGTTCAGTGTACTTCTAGTTGCCGACTGTGATGTCGAGACGAACCCGGGACCACGACCCCAGAGAACTCTTACTGTTAACGAGAGCGGTACGGTCGGAATTAATGATGGAAGAGAAGACACGACAAGTGATATCACCACAATGTTGAAAGACATTCATAACGAAGTTAGAGAAACGAACAGTAAGTTTGATGCTTTGAATGTGAAAATCGAAAAGATGGCGACCGACTTGCACTGAGAATGTCATGCAGGAGAACAGACAACTAAAATCCTCTCTCTCTCACGTTTGGAAGGGAAATTAGAAAATTCAGAGTGTCGTAATAGGCGGGATAATTTAGTATTCAGAGGTCTTAAGGGTACTAAAGGTTAGACGTGGGAAAAAAGTGAAGAGATAGTTCGGGAGTTTCTCGCTAACGACTTGGATATGGACAAGGCAGACGAGATTACAATTTTAAGGGTTCACCGTTTAAACCCTAGAAGAGAATCGTCCCCTATTGTGGCAAACTTTTTGTTTCCGAAAGAGAAAAGTGACATTTATAAACGTAGCCGTGGAAAATTCCCCAAGGATTCAGACAAAAGAGTATCTGAGGACTTTCCTCAGAAAATCAGGGAGGACAGGAGAGCTTTATCTGCATTATTTGGTCTTGCTTTGAGTGATGGGAAAAAGCCGAAAATGCGTGTGAACAAGCTAATTGTGGACAATGATGTGTTCATGTTTGACAGAGAGAAGAAAAAAGTTGACAAGATTAATGATATTGCAAGTGATATTACTGATGATGAGGCTGCTGCAGGTGAGGATTGACCCGGTTATCAATCCGGTCGCTTAAGGGAGGTAACTCCACGGGACAATACTCGAAGAAAATGAAGGAACGGCCATGGCCCTTTTGACTTTCGTATTCTGTCATGGAACATTGAAGGATTAAGGAAACA